AATGGAAATGTCACAAAATTTTAAAAGTTTAAAATACACTTGTGAATTAGAGCTCTTGAAGACCTGTGTACCTACTGGCCTTATTCTATCAATACCTCCCATGATATGTTACGGAGACGTCTGAAAGGCAGATATCTTCCCTACTGTGGCCAACATGGGACACCATCCAAGGGTCTCATGTGGATCACACAGTGAGTCAATGATGTACATGAGACTCAAGTATGTATGTATAGTGAGGACTGAATTAGTGCCAATGGCTTTTGCCCAAACTATAAAAACAATTACTTTGAGTAGAGCCCATTTCAGTGGAATGGGATTTTTAACACCTGCATTATGACCTTTCCAGCACCAAGTGAAAACATTCTTATTTTCCCAGACATTTTATGCTGCAGTCAGCTTTTACTTTGGTTTTATACTGTGGGTTTAAAATTTCAAAAGTTTTATATTATGCTTTACCATTCCATATTGTAAGGTATGAATTACTGTGAAGTTTCCAGAGAGCTTTGGCAATTCAACAGTATAGAAATGTAATAAATTAATAAATTAAATTGACATGTTTAGGATCTGGGAGATAGTCAGAGAAAGCTAATGGGAAGTGGGCCTACGAGGAGGTAAAATCTTTGCAGAACAGCCAAAAACTTAAATACAGGCAGCCTAATAAGTTTTAAAAGTTTCTTTTTCTTGGTAAGTAATTGGATAGAATAATGCTTGCATTGCTCTTTCTTAGGCATCCACTGAACAGCTTTCAGCAACCTGGTGCCCTTCAGATGAATTGGACTACAGCTCCCAATGTCCATGCTGACTAGGGATTATGGGAATTATAGTCCAATACATCCTGAGAGTAAAAGGTTGTAGAAAGCTGGTATAGGTATTTGATTCACTGTGACTTGGTCTTAGTTCTACCAGAATTCATTCCAGTCTTAGTTCAAGCATGAACTTGACAAAATGACCTTATGCGGTTAAAATACATGAAGCAGTGGGTAGGAATAAGCTGGCAGTTTTTCACAACAGAGGGAATATAAACATTGTTGTTCATAAATGATCTGGCGTAAGTACTGAAATTGCCAAGTCTGTGGGTGGTGCCACATTCTTGACCAGGAAATCCAAAGCAGACTCTGAAAAACTGCAGAAGAGTCTCTTCAAGTGACTCGAATGTGCAACAGAATGGCAAGCAAAATATAAAAAAGAACAGAAATAAGGGTATAGTAACACACATTAAGGCCAACATACAAAACATTTAAAATCTACCTTTGCAATTATTACATATATGAATGGAGCATAAACTGCTTGTGACTATCCAGGAAAGAGCAGTGGCAGAGGGGTCAGTGAGAGTGACAATTCAGCGTGCAACTGCAGTGAAAAATGCAGTGTTGGTATGCACAGTGTAAGAGGCAGAAAGGAAGCTACTGCTCTTCCCTGCTAGAAGGGGACAGGTTACTGCAGAGGTGCCCCTCTCTTAGCTTTCCACGGCAGAGGAGAATACTGTTGGTGCCAGTGAGGGTGCAGTGGGTTCAGCTGCTTTAGAGGTCCCCATTGTGAAACATGGAGCTGAAGGAGAGCTGGACCCGCAGAAAGACCAACAAGTGGGCCCTACATCAAATCAAGCTGGAGTTTTGCCTAGAAGCATGAAAGACAAAACTGAGGCTCTCGTACTTTGGACTCATCAAGAGAAGGCAAGACTCCCTGGAGAAGAGAATCATGCTAGGGAAAGTCAAAGGCAGCAGGCAAAAGGGAAGCCCAAATATGAGATGGATTGACTCCATACAGGAAACCACAGCCTTGAACTTGGAAGAGCTGAATGGAGCTGTCAGGGACAGAACATTTTGGAGCACTGTCATTCACAGGGTCACCATAGGTTGAAGATGACTTGATGGTACATAGCAGCAACGAATTGTGACTGCCAAGAACATGGTAGAGGGGCGAGAGAAAGCTACCACTGGCCATTTCTCCACCAGTAGTCCTAGCTGCAAAGCTCAGGAATGGGGTGCTTCAGGGATGGAGGCCACTTGGGATCTGCTGAAACCAACCCTGTTATATTCCCTTGAAATGTATTAATTATTTATTGTACTATGCATTATATGTTTAATTTGCCCAATAACAAACATTCTCTGGATAGATTATATAAAGAGAAGACTAAAAATAACCTCCACTAACATAAAATATTAAAGCCTATACAAACATTTATCTCAGAGAAAAGAAGTGTAAGAAAGGAAGCAATGTAGGTGCCTGATGGGCGTAGTGATTCTGAAAATGGGCACCACAACTGGGAAGGCTTACTCCCTTAGTCATCCTTTTCACTTCCTTTGGCAGGGGCATCCAAAGGAATCTCTGAAAGTGGCTTGGGAGTCTGAACAGATATGCATGCACTTGATCCAGGACCATCAGCAGCTCCAGACTGCAGCTCATGTGCCCCCCAGACAGCATGGATGGCTTAGGAATGCTGGGATTTGTAGGACTTTTTTCTCTTTAAACACACAGAGAATTGTGCCCTTAAAATATATTAATCTAACAGCTGTTCCCCTGTGCTCCCAGGTTTTGGGAAGCAGCCACAAGAGTCACCACTCCTCCTTGACTACCACTTTGAATTTCTCTGCCAAGTCCTTATATTGACCTTTCTCCTGTTCATTTCTGGTCATCCCATCTCAGAAAGGATATTGTACGTAGCTTGGGAGAAAATAAAGGAATGAGCAAGCCAACTGATCAATTGGGTAGGTCATCATCCTTATAGAAGGCTAAACTTCAAGAGCTTTTAGGTTGTTTATGGAACAGTATGGTGTAAGAGAGGACCACAGAGAGACATGTTTCCAAAATTCTGAATGGTAAGGATAAAGTAAGCTGAGAGACATGTGTTTGCTCATGCCATAATATTTAGTATGTTCAAGTAAACTAGCTGGCATTAGGTTCAGAAAAAAAGTGGTAGTAAATAATTTCATGTGTTGCTGTTACAGGTTGTGGGAATGGCTTGTTGCTTAGCCCCACCTTTCCCAACATGGTGGCCTCCATAGCATTCCTGGTCATGCTGCTTGGAGCTGATGGGAGATTATGTGCAGAACATCTGGTGAGCATCTGGCTGGATGATTTGGGAAAAACCCCCTTCCATGTGGAGTGCAGGTCTCTAGTTATCTGGTATGAGAACTGAATGTCCAAGTTCAGAAACTGTGTATCAGCAAAGAGGAGACACTGAGGACTTACAAGTGAGGAGGGTTCTTGCCTCTGTCCATAAAGTTCCTAGAGGTTTCAGGCCAGCAACTGTTGGAAGCAGATGCTGTCTGACCCAGCCATGCTCTTCTTACATAGGAATATAAAAAGAGCCACACTGATCAGACCAAAGGGAGCCAGTGTGGTGTAGTGGTTAAGAGCATGGGACTGGGACTCAGACAATCTGGGTTCTAGTCCCCACTCGACCATGGAGCCAACTGGATGACTTTGGGCCAGTCATAGACTCTCAGCCCAACCTACCTCACAGGGTTGTTGTTGTGGGGATAAAATGGAGGAGGAGAATGATGTAAGCTGCCTTGAGCCTTTTGTAGGAAAAGGCAAGATATAAATCAAATCAAATCAAATCAAACCAAATCAAATATTCTTTCATACAGTGGCCAACCAGCTTGGAAATTCACAAGCAGCAACCATGCAACTGTACCCTTGAACCCATGTTCCCCCAGAACAGGTGTACATAGGGATGCCTCTGACCAGGAAGTGGCATACAGCTATCAGGACTCGAAGCCATTCTTCTAGCCTTCTCATCCATGAATGTGTCCGATCCACTTTAAAGTTGTCCAAATTGGTGACCACCATCATATCCTGTGGCCATGAATTCCATAGCTTAACTGTGTGTGGTGTGCTTCCTTTTGCGTTCTGGGACTTTCACCCATCACTTCATGGGATGCCGCTACCTTTAGCACCCTCTACTGCTGGGCAATTTAATTATTTACTGGGGTCTGCTGGTTGTTAGACAGGGTTTAACAGGGACTTTTTAACATACAGTTTTGTATTTTCTGTTTGTACTGTATTTCATTTTGAATGTGGCATTGCTAACTTTTATGAAGTTTTAATTGGCATGTTTCATATTGTTTTTAAATATGCTGTTGTGAACTGCCCAGAGAACTTTCAGCTGTTGGGCAGTATTGAAAATAAATAAATGAATGAACATGAGAGAAGGTGAAAAGCGTTTCCTTCTCCGCTTTCTCAACACCATGATGCCGTTTGACTCCAGGAGAGCCACCAGCCCCTCAGTTCCGAACAGCAGCAGCGCGCAGGTCCTGCTGAGCCTCTTGCGAAGGCTGCCGAAGTGTTTGGAGTCCCTTGGAGGACACTCATCCGTGCTATTATTCCGAAGGAGACGCTGATTTGGCTAGCGCGATCTTCCACAACATGGTGCCCTCCAGGGGAGTTGCCTGCAGTTCCCATCATCCCCTGGCAGCAGGGGCCAATGGCCAAGTTGGGGAAGGCTGGCGTAGATACCCCCCCACACACAAAAGCAACAATAATAAATAACAGTAAAAAGTGAATACTTCACCAAGCACGTCTGTCTCCCTCATGAACAACACCTCTCCCCCGCTCTCTGAGCATCTGGCTCCCGGGACGTGGGTCAGCCTCTAGACCACAAGGTAGCAGGGGCTCTTCACACCTTGGAGAGTGGCACTAGAGGGTGCGTTGCACCCTCCTCCCCGCCCCCTTGTGCGTGCCACTTAACACAGGGATGCGGAGGGGCTGCGCGTGTGCGCTGGAGGAAGGCGAGCTCTCGCTCTGCCCTCGCAAGCTCGGGACCTTTGGTGGGGCTGGGGACGGCTATTCTTATAATGCCTCTTTCCAGCAGCCTCCTCTTCCTCCTCCTCCTCCTCCTCCTCCCCCTCCTCCCGCGAGTGAATCCAGTAGGTAGGTATCAAGGGCAGAGAGCCACAGCGGCGGCGGGAGGGCAGCTCTAATTGCTTTCTCAATGAAAGATAATCACCGGGTCCCAAGAGAGGCTTTCAGATTAGCACTCAACATCCCTTCGCCTCCAGTGATCTCAGCCCCTCTCATCCTGCTGCCTCCATTTACAGCCCATTCAGCAGTAAGTGGATCGAAGCAAGCCGCTCACCACCACCCATTAGTGACAGCAGATCTCTCCCCAGGACTTGGGGCTGACTTTTTCCCCCTCTTTCCTCTCTCTCGCTCTCTTCCTCCTCTCTTGCTTAGAGGCTCCATTCACTCCGTGCTCGGCTGGGTCGTTGCCGCCGCCGCTCCCGCTCCTCCTCTGCTCCTTACGGGATATCAAAGTTGCAGCGCAGAGAGAGAGAGAGCGAGCGAGAGAGAGAGAGAGAGAGAGGAGGAGAGGGTTTGGGCTGGGATTTTTTTTATTTTTTTTTTGATTTTGGGAAACATGAGCGAGCTGGAAGACGACTTCGCCAAGCTTTTGCTGCTGAAAGATGAGCGGATTAAGGAGCTGGAGAAGCGCCTGTCGGAGAAGGACGAAGAGATCCAGGAGCTGAAGAGGAAGCTGCACAAGTGTCAGTCGGTGCTGCCCGCGCCCACCACCCACATAGGACCGCGCACCACCCGGGCGCAAGGCATCTCCGCCGAGCCCCAGACCTATCGGTCTTTCCACGATCTCAGGCAGGCGTTCCGCAAATTCACCAAATCCGAAAGGTAGGGTCGACTCGGGCGAGCGGAGGGCTCTTGAGGGGGAGGGGGAGGGGGCCGCGCGGATGTGCGCGCGTGAGTGCGTGCGTGTGTCACATCTCACACCCTTGTCTCCTTCAGCCCCAAAGTCTCCTTAAAGCTGGATGGCTGCAGCCAAGTGGAGGGCGGAGTTGGGATAGGCAATGCCCCCTGCTCGTCCCCGCAGAGCCGTCTTCCAATTCTCCTTCTTGCAGCTTCTCCCCGAGATCGGGGGGGCGAGGGGCGGAAACTTCCAAGGCTGGTGAGGATGGGGCGAAGGGGAAGCGGAGCCGGCCGCCCTGCCCATCACATGCTGCCTGGGAGCCGTGCGAGAAGGTCCACCACAGAAAGACCAGCCGCAAACGCCCCTGCCCTTCCCCTCACGGGCTTGGACCTGCCACGGCCCCGCGCGCCCCCGGGCCAAGCGGCAAAGTTCCTGCAGGAGTTCTCGTGCTGCTTGGAAGCCGCCTTTGCAAGCCCGGCCGGGGTGCAGGCGCCTCTCCTGCGCCCCATTACCAGTTTGGCTGCCTTTCTATTTTTGATGAGCATGCCTGGACAGTCAGGCATGCTCAGTCGCGGCCCCCGAAGCCGGCGTTTGCCCTTCCTTCCTTCGCCCTTAGTCTGTGCTGTTCTCCCACAGCGCGGGAAAGGGGGAGGCGTAGAGTGGGAGCGCTTGAGGATGGGGAGGGGAAGAGCAGAGACATTCTAAAACCGGAGGAGCGAGGCGTTCAGAAACCCAAATCCCTCCTTTTTCCTCCCGCTGTGTCCCCCCCGCCCCCCCGTGCACTTCCCGCAAGCATCCCGCCAGGCCCTCCCAATCCCTCCCTCTCCAGGCTGGCGGCGGTTGTTGCTGCTTTTTGCGAAGAAGAAAAAAGTCGCGGACACCAGAGAAGCCCCATCGATCGGCCCCAGCATTAACCCCCCTGTGGACATTAGCGAGAGGAAGTGCAGAGCGCATTATGTGCTTTTAAGTCGCTGGAAGTGCCCGGCTCCAAATGCAGGATATTGAATATCCCATTAAACTACGCCGCTCTTCCTCCCCCGCCCCCCTTCGCATCATCAGCTGCTCCTCTTTGCCTTGTTTGAACGCTCCTACCTGGAGGAGCACGAGCTGAGAAATAGAGGATCCAGGTGCACGCAGGACATGGAAGGTGGCTGAAACTGGGGAGTGTGGAAAAAGAAGTTTTGGGACACTAGGGCTTTTTTGGGGGGGAGGCTTGGTTTTTTCACAAGAACATTCCCCACATTAATTAAGGAGTTGCGCGTGTTTGTGACAAATCTCCCCCCTCCATGTCTCTATGTTATCCTTTATTCCTTTAAAGTAGCACCTAGATTGCTTTGGGGCTCTCTTTGCATGTGTGGGTGTGGCGAGGCCCTCCTTGTGCTGCTGCTCTTGACCAAACGTTGATCTGAGGTTCCCATGGCAATGCAGGCTGGCAGGGGAGCGTCCAGTGCACCAGGCCGATGGAGCTGGCTGCTGCCAAACACAAGTCTCCCTCCTGACAACTCCTGAGAACTCTCAGCCTGCTTCCGGAGGGTACCAGGAGATGTCGTGAGAGACTTTGGCCTGCTCAGGAGAGAAGCATTGCTAGTTTTCTGGGTGACAATGATATGATCTTGCTTCATTGGCTGCTACCCATGTTCCTTGGTGTGGGAGCCTGTCCTAGTCACAAGGTACTGTGGGCACACGAATGGGACAATATAAATATTGGGCAGTCTCCAGTGGCGTCATTCTGCAAACTCAGTAACACATTCCACTACATCTTTCTGTTCCACAAATGTAGCTTTATTTGGATTCTCCACTGGTACACAGTTCGGAACGTAGTTTTCATTAGCACAAGATTGTTTGGATACTACCCAATAAGAATAACTATTATTAGCAATGATTTAAAAAACCATTTTAATTAATTATATGAGTTTTACCTGGTGTGAGAGAAAGGGAAGAGGAATAAGCACATGTGTTTCATTTTTAGATGAAGCACAAAAGAGCGTTCCAGAATCAAATTAAGAGTCATCCTGTGTGTGGGAAAATGCTTTGTGTAAGACGGTGTTACGGTATTTCTAAATACTTGCTTTCAAAAGTGAATTTAAAATACTATTTACTGGCATCTTCTTAACTTACTGAAAGGATTTGGTTGAATAATGGAATATGGCAATCCTCATGGAACCTCAGTATTTAATGTCACTAAACTTGAGAAACTGCCTAGAAGGAGATCAGCAGAGCTGAAAGAAATACTATGTTTCAGCTGCTTAAAGGGCAAGAGAGCCAACCTGGGATGAGCAGAGAAGATGATGAGGTTGGCTGAATGAGGAACAGTGAAGGGTTGTTCCTCTTAGAAAGAAAGTATATGAGCAGCAAAATTATCCAGTGGTCTCTTTAAAACTGTGTTAGACACACCCCATACCAAAAAAAGAAAAAAAAGTCTGAAGGGTGTGATTAAAAATTGGCTTCCTCGCAGTGTCAGCTGTGGCTTGCATAGGGGTGTGTGTGGGTTTGGTGCAGCTCCTTAGCTTATTTCTGGTCAGGGTATCTTCCTTTTATCAAAACTCCTGGAGTTTGGGGATGCCCGGTTGGGATTCAGGCAGGTTGTCAGCATCTTTCAGGCACCCAGGTCTTTCACTAGAAGCCTGTTAAAAGATGGGTGCGCTCACCTCCTTACTGCATCTCACCCTTAAACACACACCCCTCCTTTAATGACTGGGGTTAGTTTATGAATTTCGCAAGTCCTGCTTTCAAGGCCAGAGATTCACTTGAAAGAGAGTACTGTAGGTCCTGTGTTAAAATTAAACTGGCCTTGTAAATATAGGATTTTAAGTTAGGGGTTCCATGAGCCTGATATTCCCACTGGAAAACGCCTTTGGAAATGGTTTTGCAAGGGAGTGGATGCCACACTGGGAAACCAGGGTGGGATGAAGGGTTAGTTCACAGAGCAGGATTTATCTGTTCCATCAGATGTCAAGAGCACATTTTTTTCCTTCCAACATTCATTGCAACTATTAAGTCCTGACTTCCTCCTCTTGTGGTTTACACTAGGACAGAGGGTAAACTTTTTCCCCCTTGCTCAGTGTTTGGACTCCTGCTTTCAAATACAAGCCATGAAGTTTATTTTCAGCACACTGACTCACTGTAGCAGGGAGTTATGACAAGTTTAATATATGGAGATAGTAATGGTTGGAATTGAGGGTGGGAGGGATGCACTAGAACATTTAAAGAAACAGAATGTCTTTTATTAACAATGCTACAGGCAGCTTTTTTCACTTCCTTCTCTGTGTTGTGTAGATATAAAATTTTGGTTAGAGGGGTTTCTGCACTCTCCATTGGTATGACTTTCTGTTAATGACCCATTATAGTGGTATATGCTCCACCACCGCTGTCACCCTAAATATACATTAGATGCTGAGGCTCCTATCCTATGTCCATTTATCTTGAACTCAGTGGAACTGACTTCCAAGGAGATGCATAGGATTGCTCTGTAAAGCTGCAAGCTGAAACATACTGAAATGGGAGTGAGCATCATTGAAAACGGATGCTTCTGCGCAAGTATAACTAGGACTTTGGCTGTATGTCCAATTCAATCCTTATCTCCAAAGCAGATAATCATGCTTAATATCAGACAAAGGATTTTTCCGTTCAGGTTTCTTTATCAAAATATAACAATGAATATGATAAACAGTAACATTTAGTACTGGGGAAGAAAGATGTCTGTAGAATTCTGGTGCAAAGCCTGAAGTATAGTGAACAAAGGTCCACTCCCAGTGGGGAAGGGTGCCTTGAATTTCCATTTAAAAATCTGAAGTTTAAATCTCAGGATCAGGGAGGTGGGACACACATGTCCATACTAGAGTAATTGAAACTATGTATCACTTGAATATTTTAATTCTTCTTCTAAATACTAGAATACTCAAGTACAACTTTGGTTGAGCTGAGCTTTACTTACTTAAGTGACATCTATGAAGTACTTATAGCAGGTGAAATGCAGTTTCACATTGTAGTAGTAGTAAATCAACAAATATATAGTAATGAAAGACTTTATGTTGAATTATCTCAGTTTGTGTCCAAATAGCATATGCTTCTCTGAGTCTTGCCTCTACCTAAAACTTGAAGATCTGAAACTGATAGGGAAAGTTGACAGCATTTTAAAAGAATGTGGCCAAATTATTGAAATAGTATCCCTTCCTTTCCCACCCACCAGAACCCAAATGCATTGCTAAATAATTTGGAAACCCTCTGGCAACACATAGTACAGATTGGCTAGATTGCTTGAAAACTGTGAGGAGGAGTCTGAATCCAATAATAGGAGCTGATCTGACATTTTGGCAATGTGACAGCTGGCCATTTAAGGTGTGGGAGGAGATGCAGCAATTTGCAGAGATGGTGGACTCCTTAAGCCATCCTGCTTCTATGAAACAAAAACTGCTGCTATGAAACAAAAATGAAGAGATTCCACAACAAAGTTGCCAATATTCATATCTCTGCAATGCCTTTTTTAGGCCAGTTCACAAAATACTGTGCAAACTTTTGTGTTCCCTTTGTTTGGTGAGATAGTAAATAAAGAGAACAACAAGGGGACAGGTGGCAAAGGAGGAAAAATGCAGAATGAACAGATATATGCGGACTATATCATTGAGTCCACCAGACATTTTTATCACTTGATGACTGACCCATCTGAGTAAGCCATTGGGCTAACACAGACAGGACTTCCCATGTAGGATTGCTCTGTGGTTCAACCAGAGTGCAATCATATGCATATTTAGACAGGAAAAAGTCCCATGGTTGCCAGCATTTCTGGAAGGGAAATGTTGGGAGTTGTAGGCCTACTCTCTGTTTAAAATAAGCATAGGATTGTGCCCTTAATCAGTGAAAGGCAGCGTCCTATGCGGTTGTCCGTGACTGTCCATACTTGGAAGGTTATAGGTGTCCAGTGGAGAACAGGACCACTCCCCTCACCCTCCAAACAAGGAGGAAAGGCTGAGGCAGCTCCTGGATT